TCTTCTTCTTCTTCTTCTTCTTCTTCTTCTTCTTCTTCTTCTTCTTCGTGTTCTTACCCCACCCCCCACTCAATAGTATTTTATTTTTTCCAATTACATGTAAAGATAGTTTTCAACATTCACTTTTAAAAAATTTTGAGTTCCAAATTTTTCTCTCCCTCCTTCCCTGCCCTCTTCCCTCCCCAAGACAGCAAGCAAGCTGATTTAGGCTATATATGTACAATCATATTAGACATATTTCCACACTAGTCATATTATGAAAGAAGAAGCCGAACAAAAGGGAAAAACTGTGAGAAAGAAAAAAAAGAGAGAAAAAATAGTATGCTTCGATCTGCATTCATACTCTATCAGCTCTTTCTTTGGAGGTGGGTAGCATTTTTCATCGTGAGTCTTTTGGAATTGTCTTTGATCATTGCATTGCTGAAAAGAGCTGAGTCTATCAAAGTTGGTCATTGAACCATGTTGCTGTTACCATGTACGATGTTCTCCTGGTTCTGCTCACTTCACTCAGCATCAGTTCATATAAGTTTTTTTCTGAAATCTGCCTTGGTCTTGAGCTTCTTCATCTGTAAAATAATAGGAGGTTAGACTAGATGACCCAAAAAGTAACTTCCAGCTCTAATCCTAGGATCTTATGAGCTCTAAGTTCCTGTCCAACTCTAATATCTTCTGCATTCAGTCAGTCAATCAATTGACATTTTATTAAGCACCTACAGTGTTCCAGGCACTGTGCTAAGCACTAGGGATACCAATAAAGGCAAAAGACAGTGTCTGCCCTTGAGGAGCTCCCAGTATAATGGAGGAGACAACATGAAAATAATTATGTACAAACAAGTCATATACAGGATATACTGAAGATAATCAACACAGGGAAGGCAGTAGAATTAAGAGGGCTCAGGACAAGGTTCATGTCAAAGGTGAGATTTTAGCTGGGACTTGAAGGGAGCTAGGGAAACCAGGAAGCAAAGATGAGGAAGGAGAGCATTGCAGGTGTGGGGGACAACCAGTGAAAGCCAGAGTCCCTAAAAGGATCATCTTGTTCTTGAAATAGAAAGGAGGTTAGTGTTACTGAATCAGAGTATGTGGTGATGGTGGCTGAGGGGAGGGGAGGGGAGTGAGGTGGAAGAAGACTGGAAAGGGGGTCAGATTTTAAGGGTTTTGAATACTAAGCAGAGGATTTTCCAATTGATCCTGGTGGTAATAGGGAGACACTGGAGGTAGGGGATGGGGTAGGGTAGGGTGACATGGTTGGGTATTTTGTTGTTGGAAGATCACTTAGACAGCTTCATTTAAAAAAAAATTAAAGGTAAGGTAACTACTAGTCATGCCAGATTATCATTTTATTATAGTAAAACCTTGTGCTAAATAGTTCTTCAATAAAGATTATTGGCCACCGGCCATAACTTGCTACCTAGGATTCATGTGTCATTGGAATTTTACTCATATTTTAGAGTCACTTTGATAAAATGAAAAGAACATTGTATTTGGGCTTGAATTCTAGTTCTACCACTTATAGCTGTATCACTTTAGGCAAGTCATTTTGCCTCTCAGGGACTCAGTTTCTTCATCCATCAAATGAGAGCACTTGAACTAGAACAGCTCTAAGGTGCCTGATGTTCTTATTTCTCTAGAACCCAGTCAACTGGCTTCTAGGGACCTAGCCTGTCAATTTGAGTAGGCACTAGAAATTAAGCTAGGAGGAGGGCTGAACTTCTCTAGGCCAAATTCACATTCTTTTTTATTTTATTTAATTTTTGGCTGCTGTGTTGCACTTAACTCAAGAAGGCTTTTACCTATAAAGGGAGGAAGAGAGAAAAAAGCAGCCAGTTACAGATGCTCAATTAGATACAAGAGAAGGCAGCAGGTATAACATAGAGAAAAGAGTAACAACAGAATCATTGAGTAACTAAAAAAAAATAAAAACAGTAATGGGGAGAAAGTAATGGGGAGAAATAGTGATGCACTAAGCTGTCTACATGCTAAAATTTGAAGTGTGGGAAATAAAAAATTTGAACTCAAGGAGGAGAGGTGTCATTGAGATTTGGTAAGCCAGATTGTGAGCCCTATGGCAGCTCAGAATTCCCAAGCTCAAGACATACATGAGTTCCAACCTCTCCATTAGCCAAGGTTAAAAGCATATACCACCCTAACTGATCCTGGTATCCTTTGGATAATTCCAATTATTAGTGAATGTCTCCTTAAATGGAACCAAAATCTGCCTTTCTATAACTTCCAACCATTGTTCCTAATGTTCCGTGCCCTTTGAGGGCACAACCAAAATTTACATATATCTTTAAGATTAGCAAAGTATTCTACAAATAGTATGTCATTTAATCCTCACAACTCTGGGAGGTAGGTGCTATTATTATTCTCATTTTACAGATGCTGAAACTGAAGCAAACAGAAGCTAAGTGACTTGCTTAGGATCACATAGCTAGTGAGTGTCTGAGGTCAGATTTTAATTCAAGTCTTCCTCATTCTAGGTCCAACCCTCTAACCACTGCTCCTCTTCTATGTGTCAGACAGCCCTTCAAATACTTGAATATAGGGATAGTATCCCATCCCTCCCTCCCCAAGTCTTCTCTTTTCCAGGCTATCTTTAGTTCTTTTAACCAACCTTCATTTGTATCCTGTCCTCTCATCCTGTTTGTCCTCCTTTATATGTATTTAACCACTGGGTGGCATGCTAATCACTTTGTTTTTGTTCAGTCTTTTTTTCAGTCATTCCCCACTCTTCATAACCCCTTTTGGGTCAGCCGCTTAGCTGCCCATAGTAATCACTAACCCGATCCCATTCAGCTAGAAAACTAAAGAGGGCATTAAGGTGGCCTAAAATGTGCAGTTCACGTGCAAAATGGCCTTACGGCATATGAGATTGATTTCAACCAAAGGTGATGGGGTAGAGAAATAGATCACACAAATAAGGGTAGCATCATCTATTACAAGCAACTAAAGGCATTATTATAAATCAACCAGCACTGGAGAGCAATTTGGAACTATGCCCAAAGGGCAACCAAACTAGGCATACCCTTTGACCCAGTAATACCACTACTAAGTCTGTATCCTAAAGAGATCATAAAAAAGGGGAAGGGACCTACATGTGCAAAAATAGTTATAGCAGTCCTTTTTGTGGTGGCAAAATATTGGAAACTGAGGGGATGCCCATCAATTGGGGAATGGCTGAACAAGCTGTGGAATATGAATGTAATGGAATACTATTGTGCAATAACAAATGATGAACAGGCAGATTTCAGAAAAACCTGGAAATACTTGTATGACCTGATGCAAAGTGAAAGGAGCAGAACAAGGAAAACATTGTACACAGTATCAGCAACATTGTATGATGATCAACTATGAATGACTCAGCTCTTCTCAGCAACACAATGATCCAAGCCAAGTACAAAGTACTCACGAAGGAAAATGCTGTCCACATCCAGGTAAAGTACTGATGGGCTCTAAATGCAGATGGAAGCATATTTTTTCACTTACTTTATTCTTTTTCCTGTTTTTTTTCTTTTTATCTGTTTCTTCTCTCACAACTATGACTAATATGGAACTATGTTTTACATGATAGCACATGTATAACCTGTATCAAATTGCCTACCATTTTTGGAAGAGGGGAGGGAGGGAGGGAGAAAAATTTGGAACCCAAAATCTTGTAAAAATTAATGCTAAAAATTGTCTCGATATGTAATTGGGGGAAAAAAATATTATTTTTAAAAAAATCAAACAGCATAGAAAGGTTTTCGTAGAAGGTGAAAGTTTTCAAGGCCAAAGTTCCAAGATCCTCAGAATGATAAATTATCAGCAAGCTGCTTTCAGCTCTTAGCCCAGGGAAAGAAAACATGAGGAGGTCATAGATTAAGGGTTCTTGACTTTTTTTGTGTCATAGACCCTTCTGACAGTCTGGTAAAGCCTATAGATCCTTCCTCAGAATGATGTGTGTGTAGTTTGGTTTTTTTTTTTTAATTCAATCTAATTTTATTTTTGGTCAGCTAGGTGGAGCAGTAGATATAACTTGGAGTTGGGAGTCAGAAACACTCATGTCCCTGAGTTCAAATCTGGCCTCAGACATTTATGAGCTGTGTGACCCTGAGCAAGTCACTTGCCTATTTGCCTCAGTTCCTCATCTGTAAAAATAGCTGGAGAAGGAAATGGCAAACCACTCCAGTATCTTTGCTAAGAAAACCCCAAAATGGGGTCACAAAGTTCCATGACTGAAAAACCACTGATTTTATTTTCAGTTCCAAATTCTCTCCCTCCCAGCTTTCTCTCCCCCATTCGCTGAGAAGATAAGAAAAATAAAACCCATTTCAAATATAGACAGTCAAGCAAAACAAATTCCTGCATTAACCTTTCTCCCCCCGCACCCCACACCAAAAAAAAAGAAAAGAAAGGAAAAAAGAAAATAAGTTTCAATATTCATTCCAAGTTCATCAGCTCTCTATCTGGACGTAGATAGCATGTTTCATCATGAATCCTTTGGAATTGTAGTTAGTCATTTATAATATTGTTGTTATTGTATAAATTGTTCTCCTGGTTCTGCTCTTCCACTTTGCATCAGTTCATACAAGTCTTCCCAGGTTTTTCTGAAACCCTCCCATTCATCATTTCTTACAGCACAATAGTAATCCATCGCTTAGATATTCCAAAAATTGTTCATCCTTTCTCCAACTGATGGTACCTCTTCAGTATCTAATTCTTTGCAACCATGAAAAAAGCTCCTACAAATATTTGTGTACACAGGGGTCCTTTTTCCTCTTTCTTTGATCTCTATGAGGTGGTATAAATCTAGTATTATGGTTTCAGAAGACACATGTAGTTTAATACCTTTTGGGGCATGATTCCAAATTGCTTTCCAGAATGGCTGAGCAACTCCACCAAGAGTGAGTTAATTTACCTGTTTTCCCATAGCCCCTTCAGCACTTGTCATTTTCTTTTTCTTGTCATCTTTGTCAATCTGATAGAGATGAGGTGGTATCTCATAGTGGTTTTAATTTTCATTTCTCTAATTGTTAGTGGGTTTTTTTGTCATAGGTATTTTATTTTTTAAGTTCAAGAACAGGCTAACAACTCTGTTAGCAACATTAAGAGCAAGAGTTAAGCTGTTAATAAATAGTCAAAGATTGACTCCAAGGAAGGGGGAGAAGAGGAGGAAAGAAGTATATTAGTACTGTAGGAGACATAAAGATCAGATCCTCTTATCTGTATCTACTCTCCAAGGGGGTTGCTTCTGAATTCTGAGCCTTTGTCCAGAGCACATAATGAAAAACAATAAGAGGAAGTCAGAGAATTTATACGAAGTTCAGAACAGTGTAGTTTTAGAAAACATCAAAGGGCAGCTAAAATCACAAAGCTCAGGGCTGGAATTCTCTTTGGATCAGCAGTATTACTTCTTTTTTGGAACTGTGGCATAGACGTCTGATAAGTTCCATCTGACATATTTTAGCTCTTATGAAACATTCCTGTCGGTAAAGACTTTGTGTAAAAGAATTAATTCTTTCATCCCTTCTCTAGCTTCTTACACTTTGCTTGAGTTTCTTCAAATATCCATCTAATTTGTAGGTTACCTGCAGTATGTTCATATTTTCTAGAAGTCTGCAGTCTTTGCTGGTGTCCTGGGCACAGCCCCCTGATGTATGCCTTAACTCACTCTGTGGACTCCTCAATTGTCCCCCCCATGACATCATCTAGGTCAGGGAAGGAAAAGAGAAAGGATAGAGAGGGGGAAGGGAAAGGGAATAAAAGAGGGGAAAGGAGAGGAAGAGGGGCAAAAGGAAGGAGAAGGGGTGGGAAAGGAAAGAAAAAGGGAAGGAGGCAAAGACCACAAAGGTGATTTTTAAAAGGGGAGTGGGAAGACTTTCCTGGCCATCAGCATTCCACCCCACCTCTGCCTCCATATTAGCAATTTAAAGAATTTTTTTTCTTTTGTTTACTGAAAGCTTGATTTTCTTTCCTCTGAAAATTGCCCGATCATATCCTCTGATCATTTATCAATTAGGAAAGAGCTCTTATTCTTACAAATTTGACTCAGTTTCCATTATCTATCATAGAAATTATGCCTTTATCAGAAAAATTTGCTTCAAAGATTCCCCCCCCATTTCCTTCTAATTTTAGCTTGTATAAAAATTTAAAAATTTTATGTAATCAGTATTATCTATTTTACCTCTCTGTCTCTTGTTTGGTCATCAACTCTTCCCCTATCCATGGATCTGATAGGTAATTTCTTCCTTACTCCTTTGTTTATAATGTTACCCTTTATGACTAGATCATGTAGAGTTGGTTTGGATATACAGTGTAAGAAGGGGGTTTATACCTAGTTTCTGCCAGACTGACTTAGATCATCAGTTTTTGTTGAATACTGAGTTCTTGTCCCAGTAGCTGGTATCTTTGGGTTTATCAAACACTAGACTACTGTGTTTGGTTGTTTCTTTATGTTGATCTCATAATCTGTTCCATTGAACCACCTCCTTTATTTCTTTCCTAATACCAAATTGTTTTGACAATTACAGTTTTGTAGTATAGGTTGAGATCTGATACTGCTAAGCCTCTTTCCTTCCTAGTTTTTTTTTTCATTAATTCCTGTGTTATTCTTGACCTTTTGTTCCTCTATATGAATTGTTATTTTTTTTTTCTAGCTTTACAGAATAGTCTTTTGGCAGTTTGGTATGGTATGAATAAATAAATTAATTCAGGTAGTATTATTATTTTTATTACATTGGCTTCTCCTACCCATGAGCAATTAATATTTCTCCAATTATTTAGATCTGTCTTTATTTGTGTAAAGAGTATTTTGTAACTGTGTTAATTTAGTTCCTGTGTCTGTCTTGGCAGGTAAACTGCTAAATATTTCATACTGTCCATAGCTATTTTAAATGGAATTTCTTTTTCTATCTCTTCCTTTTGGGTTTTGTTAAGAATAATATTTTTAAATGCAAAAATAAAATACATAGAATTACAAAGGAAATAAAGATGTTTTCCCATCCAAGTTCATGAACTCCCTGAAATCTATCCACAGACCCCAAGTTAAGAACCCCTGTCATAAAGGAAAGAGTTATTTTTATCTGAGGAGTAGGAGGAACAAAAATAAAACTTCCCAGATTCATGGATAGTGGGTAGAAAAAGATATTTTTCATTTATGTGGAGGGATTTAAATAGTGACATTTGGGAGGCAGCTAGGTGGCTCAGTGGATAGAGCACTGGGCCCGGAGTCAGGAAGACCTGAGTTCAAATCCACGCTCATATTTTGGGCAAGTTACCTAACCTCTGTTTGCCTTAATTCACTGAAGGAGAAAAATGGCAAACCATTCCAGTATCTGGCAAGAAAACTCCAATTTAAATGATGGCTCCTGTCACTGGGGCAAGGCCCCAGTGACAGGAGCCATCATTTAAATTGTTGTTGTTGTTTAGTAGTGTCCAACTCTTTGTGACCCTATGGACCATACTGTCCCTGGAGTTTTCTTGCTAGATACTGGAATGGTTTGCCATTTTTTATCTCCATTAGAAACTGAGAACAGATCTAATGCCCAGCCCAGACAGGATTAGGCTTGCTGACTCAGAAAGATGAGCCCTATAAGAAAGAGGTAGAGAGCTCGGCCGAGTAAGTAAGCAAGAACAAAATCTTATTCCTTGTAAGTCTAAGGCCCGATTTCCTGAAATTATGCATAAGGAAAGAACACCTGATAAGGCCTTTGTAAGACTGGCAACTTGGTCCTTTGATCTGTTATTCTAAACCTACTGAAGGCATTTTTTTTCCCCCTGTAGTGCTTCTCAGTAAAAATCCTTAAAAGCAAATGGAAAACAAGGGTTATGAACTGCTTTCAGGTGGCAAGGGAGAAGAAAGGCCAGGCTGCCCTCTTGCAGATGAAGCTGAGAGCTGAGCAGATCTGTTCTAGAAAGAAGTGCTACCCTCTAGAAGCCATTTGGGGCCACCAGCAATCCAAGTCCTGGAGCTTTCTATAAAATGAAAAAAAGAAAAGGGTCATTGAGAGTAGGAGGACAAAGGCAGGAGACACAATGGAAGGAGGCTTGAAGACCTGGCTCACCACAGAAGGCTATTTCATTTTCTTTTTAAAAAAAAATTAAATATATTTTTTAAATTAAAATTTATCTTCTTTCTGTCACCTCTATCTCCACATTGGTTGGAGGTGGGGGAAGGAGAAGAAAAACAAAGCCCTTGTAATAAGTATAATTTGCACAGTGAAGCAAAACAAAATCTCACATTGGCCACATCCCCCAAAATATGTCTCACTCTGCATCCTCAGTCCATTTTTCAGGAGGTATACTGATGGCATACTTAGACCTCTAGAATCATGGCTGGTCAATTATGTTTTTCAGAATTCTTAATTCTTTCAAAGTTATTATTGTTGCTGTTTTGAAACTCACCCAGGTGGAAGTGTATAAGCCACTCATGGGCCCAACTCCATTGCTGACCAAC